CTTACTTATTTTTAACTGAAGGAGAATTATAATGGTAGGTTGGTTTCTGCAGATATTTTTGTTTTTAATAACACTTTGGGAACTTCCCAGGAGATCCAGTGGTTGGGACTTCGCCTTCCCGAGCTGGGAGAGGCAGGGGTGGTGGCAGAGGCGGTGGTGGTCCAGGTTTGATCCCTGGTCAGAGATCTGGGATCCCATGTGCTTTGTGGCCAATGGCAAAAGTATAGAACAGCGGCAACATTGTAATAAAGTCAATGCAGACCTTACAAATGGTCCATATTAAAAAAAAAAAAAACAACTTTAGGGAGTAAATAAATAACATTTTAATTTTTGTGGTTTACTTTCAAAGGTTCCTAACATTAACCAAAGCAGTAAAGGCACGTGGATGCAGAACCGGCACAGAAGGACAAGAGGAGGGCAGCGGCCCCTGGCCTCACCCCTGCCAGCTTTAGCCCACTCTGCAGAGGCAGCCGGGGGCAGGGCTGCCCATTCTGCAGAGGCAGCTGTCCTTCAGCCGTTCCTCGCATCTGTCAATAGTGCCTTCACACTGTGCACCTTTATTTCCCAGTTTCAGACTTTTCTTACTGATTTGTTGCTTAGGTAGATGTTACTTGCCTTAAAAAAGAAAAGCTCCAACACGGACATATTCCCGTATTCAGCATCTTTCTTCTAAAAGTTCAGTACAGGAAAATGTTTTATTAGTCATTCTAGAGATTTGGCTTCTAGGCAATTGAGGTTTTATTGTGTTTGGCTTCTTCAGTGAGTGAAAAGCACCATCACATTCTAATGGAGGATCCATGCCTCCTCACTGACAGCATCCTTTGCCATGTCCTTCTCCAGGGGAACTTCCTGACCCAGGAATCAAACTCAGGTCTCCTGCATTGCAGGCAGATTCTTTACCAACTGAGCTACAAGGGAAGCCTCCCATCTGTAAAACACTGTCCAATCAAAAGATTTCAAACTTTACCATAACCTATGTATCCTAGGTTTTTAAGCACAATTTCACAGTTGCTGGATATAGCCAAGCAGTACAGTGCGTCCTTTATTTTCCACTGCATGTTTTCTACAAATCCTTCCAGGAGGATACGCAGAGCTCTACCAGACATTTGGATTTTAGACAATGAAGTGGACAGGTATGTGACTCTTAGTATTTGGTGTCAAGTCACAGTTGGCACTAGAGGTAAAGAATCTGCCTGCCAGTGAGTAAGACATGAGACTCGGGTTTGATCCCTGGGTTTGGAAGATCCCCTGGAGGAGGGCATGGCAATTCACTCCAGTATTCTTGCCTGAAGAATTCCATGGACAAAGGAGCCTGGCAGGTTTCAGCCCATAGTATCGTGAAGAGTCAGACATGACTGAAGCCACTTAATATACACACAGTTGGAGAAATAGTGCTTCGTGCCATAGTTAGGAGACTATGTCTGAGTTACATTTTAAGAAGCAATTTGATTAGGACATTATTTTGCTTGTGAATTGATGTACCAATTTCCAGTGGGTATAGTGTGCCAGAATGAAAGAATGATCTGATAACACGTTTAATCAACTATAGTTAAAGTGTAAAAATGAATAATTTAAAAAAATATAATTTTAGTCAGTTGACTCCAGCTTCTCATTTGTAACATCCTTATCAGACCTGTCAAGGTGAAGCAAAGCAAACCAAACAATTCACTTGTAAATTCACTGCATGTATACCAGGGGCCCACATCTGGCCTTCCAGGGGCTGGAAAAGCAGGGGCCCAAGCTAATTAGGACCGTAGAGGAGGCAGGGTGGATCAGTGGTTAGGAACACAACTCTACTGTGATGAAACCCACCTTGGGTTTTGAATTCTCCAATCAAAAGATTTCAAACTTTACCATAACCTATGTATCCTAGGTTTTTAAGCACAATTTCACAGTTGCTGGATATAGCCAAGCAGTACAGTGCGTCCTTTATTTTCCACTGCATGTTTTCTACAAATCCTTCCAGGAGGATACGCAGAGCTCTACCAGACATTTGGATTTTAGACAATGAAGTGGACAGGTATGTGACTCTTAGTATTTGGTGTCAAGTCACAGTTGGCACTAGAGGTAAAGAATCTGCCTGCCAGTGAGTAAGACATGAGACTCGGGTTTGATCCCTGGGTTTGGAAGATCCCCTGGAGGAGGGCATGGCAATTCACTCCAGTATTCTTGCCTGAAGAATTCCATGGACAAAGGAGCCTGGCAGGTTTCAGCCCATAGTATCGTGAAGAGTCAGACATGACTGAAGCCACTTAATATACACACAGTTGGAGAAATAGTGCTTCGTACCATAGTTAGGAGACTATGTCTGAGTTACATTTTAAGAAGCCATTTGATTAGGACATTATTTTGCTTGTGAATTGATGTACCAATTTCTAGTGGGTATAGTGTGCCAGAATGAAAGAATGATCTGATAACATGTTTAATCAACTATAGTTAAAGTGTAAAAATGAATAATTAAAAAAATGTAATTTTAGTCAGTTGACTCCAGCTTCTCATTTGTAACATCCTTATCAGACCTGTCAAGGTGAAGCAAAGCAAACCAAACAATTCACTTCTTTTCCTTCTCTTGTAAATTCACTGCATATATACCAGGAGTCCACATCTGGCCTTCCAGGGGCTGGAAAAGCAGGGGCCCAAGCTAATTAGGACCGTAGAGGAGGCAGGGTGGATCAGTGGTTAGGAACACAACTCTACTGTGATGAAACCCACCTTGGGTTTTGGATTCCCCCACTGAGACCTTCAGTCTCTTAGGGTCATTGCAGGGATTAAATAAGGTGGGTGTGTGTAGTCTTTGGCACAAGAAGCAGAGATATTAAGAGGTGGCAAGAATACACAGAAGAACTGTACAAAAAAGATCTTTATGACCCAGATAACCACAATGGCGTGCTCATTCACCTAGAGCCAGATATCCTGGAATGCAAAGTCAAAGCGGGCCTTAGGAAGCATCACTATCAACAAAGCTAGTGGAGGTGATGAAATTCCAGTTGAGTTATTTCAAATCCTAAAAGATGATTCTGTGAAAGTGCTACACTCAGTACACCAGCAAATCGGGAAAACTAGTAATGGGGCCTGGAAAAGGTCAGTTTTCATTCCAATCCAAAGAAAGGCAATGCCAAAGAATGTTTAAGCTACCGCACAACTGCACTCATCTCACAGGCTAGCAAAGTAATGCTCAAAATTCTCCAAGCCAGGCTTCAACAGTATGTGAACCGTGAACTTCCAGATGTTCAAGCTGGATTTAGAAAAGGCAGAAGAACCAGAGATCAAATTGCCAACATCCACTGGATCATTGAAAAAGCAAGAGTTTTTCAACTATGCCAAAGCCTTTGACTGTGTGGATCACAACAAACTGTGGAAAATTGTCACCTTAACTCCCTCCTGAGAAATCTGTATGCAGGTCAGGAAGCAACAGTTAGAACTGGACATGGAACAATAGATTGGTTCCAAGTCGAGAAAGGAGTACGTCAAGGCTGTATATTGTCACCCTGCTTATTTAACTTATATGCAGAGTACATCATGCCAAGTGCTGGGCTGGATGAAGCACAAGCCGAATCAAGATTGCTGGGAGCAACTAACACTTTTATTTTACTTTAAAATCACTGTTGATGGTGACTGCAGTTATGAAATTAAAAGATGCTTGCTCCTTGGAAGGAAAGCTATAACAAACCTAGACAGTGTATTAAAGAGCAGAGACATCACTATGCCAACAAAGGCCCATGTAGTCAAAGCTATGGTTTTTCCAGTAGTCATGTATGGATGTGAGAATTGGACCATAACAAAGGCTGAGCGCTGAAGAATTGATGCTTTCGAATTGCGGGTGCTGGAGAAGACTCTTGAGACCAAACCCATCAATCCTAAAGGGAATCAACCCTGAATATCTATTGGAAGGACTGATGCTGAAGCTCCAACACTTAGGCCACCGATGTGAAGAGCCAACTCATTGGAAAAGACCCTGATGCTGGGAAAGATTGAAGGCAAAAGGAGAAAGAGATGGCAGAGGATGAGATGGTTAGATAGCATCACCGATTCAATGGACATGAATTTGAGCAAACTCCAGGAGACAGTGAAGGACAGGGGAGCCTGGCGTGCTGCAGTCCATGGGATCACAAAGAGCTGGACACCACTTACCAACTGAACAATAACAAGATAAAATAAATGCTGGGGATTCTTGTCGTTCTTATCAGCTCCAAGACCATCCCAATGGACAAAGGGGTCCCTGTCCAGCAACCTTTAAGGCAACTTATATTGTATATAAGTTGTCTGCGTTATATGCAGAAGAGCCTGTGGCACTGGACTGGCCAGTGAGCAGTGGGAATTGCTCAATGTGTGCCAGGGAGATTGATGGCCTAGCTGTGCCCTCTGTTTGCCAGGCTGTAGGACACAGGAGTTGCAGACTGTTAGCCCCCAGATCACAGCTGACAGTGCTCATTTCAGTCATAATCTTCAGGGCTATATAGCTACTCAAAAGGCTCCACACCATGTCCATTATGTCTTTTCCCATATCTTGGTTGTGTGTGCTTTTGCTTTAGAAAAGCACTTTATTGAGATATAACTGACACAAAAAGCTGTACATTTTTTGTTTTTAAATTTATTTTTAATCGAAGGATAATTGCTTTAGGATATTGGTTTGATTTCTGCCATACATCAGTTAGCCATAGGTGTATCTATGTCCCCTCCCTCTTGAGCTTCCCTCCCACCTCCCAGCCTCTAGGTTGTTGCAGGGCCCCTGTTCGGGTTCCCTGAGTCACACAGCTAATTCCCACTGGCTGTCTGTTTTACATACGGCAGTGTGTACGTTTCCCTGCTTCTCTCTCCATTCATCTCACCCTCTCCTTCCTCCCGCCCCCAGCTGTGACCGTAAGTCTATTCTCTCCGTCTGCCTCTTCATGGGTGCCCACTAAATAGGTTCATTAGTACCGTCTTTCTAGATTCCATATGTATGTGTTAATATACAATATTTGTTTTTCTCTTTCTGATTTATTTCACTCTGTATAATAGGCTCTAGGTTCATCCACTTCATTAGAACTGACTCAAATATGTTCCAAAAAGCTATACATTTTTAATATATACAACTTGATGAATCTGGGATTAAGTCTATACTATCACTGCAATCTAAGCCATGAACATATCCATCACCTCCAAGTTTCCTCCTGTCCTTTTATTTATTATTAAAATTTTGTGATACGAACACTTAATAAAAGACCTACCCTCTTGGCAAAATGTCAAGTACACAATACACTATTGTTACCTACAGGCACCAAGTCCTAAAGCAGATCTCTAGGGTCTGAGCATCTTGAATTTTGTGTGATTCTTCATTGCGGTCAGAAGAGGGCACTGTTGCTTCACCCCAGTTCTGCACTGTGGCCCTGCTTCTCTGGCCTGCCCCGTAGTGTCCCATTCGTGGCTTTGTTCGGGAAGACAGTTTCCTTTCTTAAGTAACCAGGAAGGGGAAAAAAACTTTTTTGTCTGTAGCAGAAAAATATATACTGAAAATATTGAGAGAGTTTTAAAAGTTTTAACTTGTTTAAGTTATGCAACATTGTGTATGGCATTTTAAAAATAAACCAGTGACTAGTTTGTAACAGAGAGCCAGCAAGGACCTTCTGTGCAGCTTGGGGAACTCTGCTGTGTTATGTGGCCTGGGTGGAAAGGGAGTCTGGGGAAGGATGGATCCACGTGTATGTATGCCTGAGGCCTTTCGCTGTCTACCGGAACTATCACAACATTGTTAATCAGCTATGCCTCGAAACAAAATAAAAAGTTAAAAAAAATACACAAGTGAGACAGAGAAAATTCATGCTGATGAAACTGATGGAGAATCGGCCTGGAACACTATCAGTCAGAAACATCAGAGTGTAACTTGCTGTTCCTGCTGCTTTGGGGCAAGTGACCCAAAGAAGATGCAGAAGAAACTGATGCCCAGTTTTGGGGACGCGAGATGTTTCCTTGCATCTCTTGAAAACAGAAGCCCTTGTGAAAATTAAGGAGGTGCAGTATTGACTCACCTCCTGCCTGTGAGGTTTCCCTTTCCGTTTCTTGGCTAGTGCCATTCTGAGCCACTTAACCATTTTTAACAGGCCAGTTTTTAATGAGGCAATAAAAGCTTTATTTATAATCCTTGGGTGAAAAACGGCAATTGAAGACCACCATTTCACAACCCAGGCGCTCTGCCTTCTCTTGGTTTCCTTCTAAACTAACAGCAATCAGGGTGACAGAAATTGAGCTCCTTTTCTGCCTGTGTTTATGTTCTTTCCCCCTTATTTCTTTCAAGTTTCTTTATATGACTTTTTCTGTGGTTTCAGCTTTGGGAAGAGACACATTCGAAATGCAAATACAAGGACATTGATGGCAAGCCAAGCCTACACAGCGTAAAATCACAGTAGAAGGCTAGATAAAACGGAACTGGGGACTTGCCCAGCTTTAAGTATTAATATGATGCCTGTAAGTAAATATTGGCTGGATGAGTGACTGAATGAATGGACAAATGAATGAATAAAACCACAACTTTTCAGATAATTGCAGGTAAGAAAATTGATTTAGAACTACTTGAATATATATACTTTTTTAAAGTCCTCGTTTCTTCCTGATATTACAGTATTTCCAAATATCCTCAGATCAAGAAATAGCAAGTCTTCCAACTTTATTTGGGATTTTAGGACTGTTTTCAAAAATGACTTATGTGTCTAGGGGAACTTTGTGACTTTACTTTTTTTAAAATTTATTTTAATTGGAGGCTAATTACTTTACAGTATTGTAGTGGTTTTTGCCATACATTGACATGAATCAGCTATGGGTGCACATGTGTCCCCCATCCTGAATCCCCCTATATATATATATATATATAGATATAGATATATATATGCGTTAATATACTGTATCGGTATTATTCTTTCTGACTTACTTCACTCTGTATAATAGGCTTTCATCCACCTCATTAGAACTGATTCGAATGCATTCTTTTTAATAGCTGAGTATACCTTGTGACTTTATATCCTTGCTCAGGCTGTATTTTCAAAATGATGAGGAGAAATAGTTACGAGAACTTAAAGACAACACACTCACCAGCATCTCTCTTCTTGTTCATTCTTTCTTTCTTCTGACTTGCAGCTTCCTGATTTCAGACTCTGGTCTGAGTCAAGTGTGTGCTCACAGTGCGCCATAAAATCCTCTTAATATTCACTCATTCAAAGGTAGGAGCTCATGGACCACAAAGGTCCCTTCTTCGGGCCCCTTTCTCATGCCCAGACATGCTCAGACTTGGCGTCTTGCCCTGGAGTAAAGCCTATAGGCCAAAGAAAACTCATTTCACGGCTTGGAACAACGATCAATTCTTCAATGTAATTACTTAGGACAAATTAAGAGTTTAGATCCACGGGCTTTGGGAAACTCAAAAATTATGGAGAAGCAAAGAAAAATGGTTTCAGATGCCCCTGGGCTGTGAAAGACCACACCCTGCAGAGGTCCCAGTGTGATTCTGACAGTCAGGAGTGGGCTTTTATCTAGTCTTCCACCAGCATCTCAGGGCAGGAAGAAGCAGGGGCTGTGCTTCACATGTGCACTGTTTTGGCCTGCTGCCTTCTAAAAACTGCTTTTAAAAAAATATAATTTCTTAAATACTTTCCCCTTTCATCTGCTTAGTTTTTAAGATGATGGAAGGTGAATTGTTTCTCCATCATCAACAGAAGAACAATCAGGACAAAAAGAAGAAAGTGTCAGTAAGAGATGGAAGGAAGCAGCGGTGACTTCCATGAATTTGAGTGTTTTTGCACAAGTTGGGTTTGAGAGAAGCACAGCCTCAGACAAACACTCCAAAATCATATGTATTAATAAATTAATTCAAGACCGGAAAAGTCCTTTAATCCAGTGCTATTGGGCAGGTTGTAGAAATATTTATAGCAGCTTTGATAAGGATTCAAGTCTTTATTAGGAGACTACCTAGGAAAAAATTATGGGGTTGTAGGAATATCATTCTCAAACAGTTGACTACAGAATCATAAAAGGAGCCATCATATAGCACTTACCACTAGCCGGGCTCTGTTCTACTCACTTTACATATAATAATTTATTAAACAGCCAAACAAACCTCTGAGCCAGGTACTGTTATTAGCTCATATTGCAACTTGGGAAGCTAAGGCACCCAGGTATTACAATACTTGGCCTCCAAACACCTCGTTAGTAAATGTCAAAGCAGGAATTTCAGCTTGGTTCCAGAGTCTCTGCCCTTAACCAATTAACTGCCAAAAATAAAATACCATGTGGATACAGAAAGACTAGAATTTAAATGCTAAGTGTCATTATCTCTAATTTTTTCTTTTACTTTTCTGTTTTTTCCCCAACCTTCTACCATACAGTACTTTTGTGATCAGAGAGAACATAATAAATGCAGCTTTAAAAACTTGACCCTAAAATCAATAACCCACCACAGGTTGTGAAGATCTTTGTTTTAAACGGCCCTGCAATAGAACAAGTCTGAATGGCTTGATTTACTAATGACCAGGACCTTATCGAGAAACACCAAGCAAAAGTGCCTCAAACGTGTCCCTCTGCAGTCCTGTAAGCAGTCAATATACTACCACTTGCCATGTCACTTGGGGATGTGGAAAGCGAGTCTCATAGAAAGAATGAATTCCCCAGCTCTCACCCTGAATAGAGGGGTACAGTCCCATGGTGGTGCTCGGCACTGAAGGTTACAAATACACTGCCACACACGACTTTCCACCAAACATCATTATACACAAGTCCCCTGTATTCCTATAGAGCAGCAATGAATAATTGGAAATTAAAAAGTCACACTATAATCCAATTTAATTCACAAAATACATGTAAAGTAGTCACACATATAATGGATTCGCGTGCTAAGTCACATCAGTCGTGTCCAACTCTTTGTGACCCCATGGACTGTAGCCCGCAGGCTCCTCTGTCCATGGATTTCTCTGGGCAAGAATACAGGAGTGGGTTGCCTTTTTTTTTCTGACAGACGCTTTTAGGAAACAAGTAAAAACTTATAATATGACCATGCCAATTTGGATCCAATTCTAAGAATACTCTCAAAGTTTATCATGACATGTTCAATGCAAATACAGTTAAAAAGATATAAATGCAGCAGGTGGTAAACCAAAATTTAGACAACTATCAGTTTAGATCTCTTGTTTCTTCCCAGAGAGACAAATAACTGACTTGAACAATGCTGATGACTCCTTGCATTGATTACTTTACTTTTTTCCTATCCTTGTCTTTTTAATCAATACTCAAATTAAAAAAAAAATTCTCCCGTTTATTAAAGAGTTTTGCTGGTAGGAACTGAAGCCTCATTTGCCTAGGTTTGTAGGCTTGTTGTCTGTGTGGGAGGGTGAAGAGTCAAAGCAGGCATCGCTCTGAGCGCCTCAGAATCTCCTTGGAGAATGAAGGACAGCGTGCCTGGCCCCGGAGATGCGAGCAGCAGTCCTCAGAACTGCCTCTGCGGAACGTGCATGCCACGGCCCCTCTCCTGGGCAGCCTGCCTTCTGCAACTGGTGAAACAGCCATCGAAAGCCTGGCCTTCTCAGCTTACCTGGGGACAACCCACGGCGTCATTTCTCGAGACTGCGTCCCAGCTCAGCCTCTCCCCCTGCCCACCCTGCCGCCCTTCTCTCCTTCCACAGCAGCCCAGGACACAAGCATGCCCGCGCTCAGCACCCACGCCGGGCCGGGAAGGGGTGGGAGGTGTGCGTGTCACCTCCAGCTGCGTGTTCAGTTCAGCGCGAATCTGACACTGGGGGAGCAAGAGCACAAACCTCTACTGGGCTCCAGGCCCCGCTGACTCCACACGCCTATCTCACAAGTCACACGAGGAAGGAAACCATGCCATCTTCCTTACACACACTCAAAAAGAGGTACACAGAACAAAGAGGACACTTTTGGAAGAGCGGCAGGCAGCGTCTCTGAAAGGCGGGTGGGGCGTGCAGGGGACCACAGGAGGCAGGACGGCAGCTGCTTAGCCCACTGCTTGGTCTAATCCCCTGAGCTGTCCTGTTCCTGGTACTATGGTCGCAGGGTGTTAATTAAATCATTCTCATTAATTCAGCCCAAGTGTAAATTAGGATGGAATGAAGATAAATTAGGTTTGAAGGCAGCTAATACATTTAACCCCATGCTGCTTATTTTGCAGCCTAACAAAATAACATTGTTAAGGGAGATAACAAGGCCAAAGCCTTGGGCACAGCTTCCTAATAGCATTAAAAACGAGCCCTTGGTTTGCTGTCACAAGGCAGAGGCGAGGACCAGCTCCCAGGGGCCCAGGGGACCGGCCTAACATCTTGAGGGAGGTGGTGGCCATTCTACAACAGGGATGTCTGTAGAGTTTCCCAAGATGTTTATGACTTGTATCTCCGAAGTCTATATCATCCGGTTTGATCACAAGTCTATCTAGAGAGTTCTTCCTGTATAAATACAAGACTTGCTGACCCTTTTCCTCCAGTAAGTGAAGTGATAAGAACTACCTTTAGGACTGACTGAGAGACGCTGGAGGAATAACAGTTTGAATGGCTGTGATCCTAAATTGCCAAATCACTTTCAGCTGTGAAGTAAACATTAGAAAGTGCCTATAGGCCTGAAAACTTATCAGGCATGGCTCAAGCAAACCACTGTACGGTTTGTAGGTCATTTGTCTTCCAGTTTTTATAACCCATAGAGTAAGTAATTTCTTTTCCCTTCCTCCATGCCGCTTATCTCCCTAAGGCAGATGAAGTGAATGTATATAGTCACTGAATACGTTCAAGATTTTCCAGACCACAACTTTTTTCCGCTTCTCTTTTCTTCAAGTGTAGAAAGGTGGCCACATTAGGTAGAAAAGATACAGGAAAACAGCGTGGGTGGAAGACAGGATGGCCAGATGGAGTTCTCTCTTGTCTCAGTCCCGCCTACTGAGCAAAGCTATTTGCAAAGACATGTAAATTTAAGGACACTCTGCATTTTCTGAGTGGTAAAGACGCAACAGAAACAGATGGCCTGTTCTTAGCTCAGCAGCTTCCGGTGGCAAGATCTCCAGCCGACCAAAGGAACTGAGGACATGTGTTATTCCTAGGCAGGGTCATCTAGGTACAGGTCCCCGAAGATTTGGTAAGTAACTGAAATAAGAAGGAAATACTTCTCTTTAATGAGAAAAAGTGTATAATCTCTTACACAGAACACCCGCCCCCACTCCAGTCCCACCCTCCAGGGCAGATACTAACAATTGGTCTTCAGCACCAACCTGCTTGTTTTTTACCCGCAGTCCAGAGAGAGAAAGCGTCGGAGGAGGTGCCTCCGGAGGCTGCACTGATTACCTTCCCCCACACCTTGCCGCAGGCTAAGAAAACATGTTTTTTAAAAGACGTCTGTGCAATACAACACGTTTACCCCTCTCGGCTTTTCAGCACCTATCTCCGGTATCTGCGGCCTTTCTCTGTCTGGTCTTTGCTGATTTTTATCCACATCTTTAGGAACCAGGGGTCGGCTAGCAACCTACCCGGTCTCTTTACCTTGCAGCTCGCAGACCCCCTGCACTTGGGTCTGATCGGTTACTGATCTGGCCTCTCTGGCTTTGTGGAGCAGTCTGGAGCCGCGACTCTGCATAATAAGTTAAAATATGAAGCAGATTTGTAAAGGCTCGTGGTGAAGCTGACGAGTTAATGCGAACAAAGGACTTCAGAGGGCACTGTCTTTCTTTGTTTGCGAGGAGCGAAATTTCTCAGCGCGAATACCTGGGGGGACCGTGCTTAAAGGAAAGTGGGGTTAAAGGACCGAGAGGGCCTTGGTTTCTGGTCTCTGGACTCCGGGCGCGCCAGGGGGAGCCTCCTCTGCCTGTTAAACCATCTCTGCGTCTAATATATATATATTTTTTTCTGCGTCTAATATTTAAAAGAAAGCTGGGAAGTGGGTATCTCCACTCTAGCTATAGGGCTACGCCATTGCAAGTAGCGGTGTGCCCTCGAGCTGGACAATTCACTCCAGATCTCCCTGGGCCTCAGTTTCCCAATCTGTAAAAAAAAAAGGGTGGGGGGCGGGGGGGGGCTGGACCGGTAATCTCTACAGTTCATTCATATACTTTATTCCAAATGCCCGATAAAAACAGGCATTTCAGCTCCCACTGGAAAGACAAGCCCTTGGTACAAAGATCAAAAATGGGTTTCATAAATAGTGATCGCCGTTCGAGATTATTTTCTAATCACTTTTCCTTTTCGTGGCACGCGGCGCTTCAAACATGTATGGGCTGAATCATTTCTTTGCTGAACTCCTACCTAACACAACCTGGCGATAAAAGATAGGAAAGAGCCGGGTCTGAGGGGGCGATTAAAGGTTTATCACTACGGAGAGGTGGCGGCGTGGCCACTCCTTGGAGCAGTTCCTTTTGAATCAAGCGGCCGCGGCGATTGGCTGCAAAGCACGTGGTGCGCGCTCCGCCGGACAGCGCCCGGCTGCTGCTGCCCAGGGCGGCGTGGGGCAGAGTCCGGCCGCGGGTGCCGCACCCGCGGTGGGTGGGGGGAGGACGTGGGGGCAGGAAGCGCCCGGGGATCGAGTCTTTCTGGTCCCCTGCCCTACAGAGAAGCCCTACAGCCCGGCTTTGCCCAACGTGCGGAGTGCCCAGAGTGTACAAAATTGTATTCACACCTCGCCACTGTCCTCCCTCCAGGTATCTCGCTCAGCGGGCAGGCTGTGTGCGCCCAGGGCGCGAACCACTAACCCCCGTCTCGCCTCTTGTCTCTCTTTGCTGAGCCTCACGTCCGCTCCCGCAAGGCCGAGATCACACCTGGGGGGCGGCGCTGTCCCCAACCACCCCAGGAGGGTCCCTCAGCACCCGACTCTGCTCAGGACGCGGACACTGCGACCCAGGAAAACTTGCTTTACTCGCGATTCCCGCAGGCTGCAGCTGCTCGTGGCTGAGATTTCGCATCCGCTTTGTCTCTCTCTCCCCCTACTTGCCACAGCCCCCTCCCCCGCTTCCTCTCTCGATTAACTCCCCCGACACGCTCTCCTCCCCTTCCTCCTCCTCCTCCGCCGGCCGCTTTCACGCGCTTCCTCCCTCCCCCCGGTGTCACTTTTTGCCTACGCGCCCTCTCCCCTCCCCTCCCCTCCCCTCCTCGTCTCGCCGCTTATAGCCGGGCGCTGGGCTGCCGGGCGCAGACTGCTCCGGCAGCCGGAGAGGAGGCGGCGCGGCTGAGGCGCTGCAGAGGCCGAGTGGAGACGCCAGGCGGCCGCCGGCGCGCACGGCTCTTTCCAGCTCCCTCCCCCGAGCGTTCAGCCCGCCTCCTTCCGCGGCGCCTGCGGCCGCTGGCTCGCGCTTCCTTCCCGAGCGCCCTCCGGGAGCTGCTCCGCGGGTGGCAGGCACAGAGTCCGTGACCTGGGAACCGCGAGACCGCGGCGATCAGCCCGCGGTAACCAGCCAGCGAGCCGGAGCCCCATGCGCGCTCCTTTCGCCGGGGCAGTCGCTGTTGCTCCCTGGGGCTGAGACGTCTGCTCCGTCGCCTCCCCGCCCGGTTACCGAGGCCAGACCCAACTAACTGGTTGTGTACTGTGGCCGGCCGCCACTGCTGTAAGTCTCCGCCACCGCCGCGGACCTGTTGCGGGCGCCGCGGGTTTCAGGGGCTGCCTGGTGTGCGTGTGTGTGTGTGTGTGCGTGCGCGCGCGTGTGTGTGTGTGCGCGCGTGCGCGCACCGCGGAGCCCGGAGCTCCGACTTAGGTGGCGGTGGGGAGCTGTTCCCGGGCGGAGACCCCGGCCCGCCGCTGCGCTCCTACGGCAAACAGAGCCGGGAGCTGCCCGAGGGGCCTCCTCTCCGCAGCCCCGACGAGCTGCTGGGGAGGAGCTCAGCCAGCATACGATCAACCCCCCCCCCCCGCAACACCCCCGCAGCCCCACTCCCCTCCGCGGGAAGAGCTGTGCCGAGCGCGCGGGATTGTTTGTTCCCCTTGCACCCTTTGCGGCTCTGCGAGCCCTGGGGTCACGCACAGACACCCCTAGTGAGGGCATGTTCACTGCGGCCAGATATCTGTGGGGAATGAATGAAAACTGCTTTCTAAAAAATTAGTTTTTGTCATTCAAGTTGTTTAGCCTTCACATGCGTAGCTTGGAAGGATAGGAATTGGTAGGCGGGGTGGAGATGAACCACTGGACTTGGCGTGTATCTGGTGTGCCCTTACAGGCATGGCCTTGTGTTAGAGCGTTACAATGCTATAGAGGACTCTGTGGTAAAATGCTTTTCTTGTTAACAGTCTCTCTATAGTGTTGTTCCTTTGTTATCAATAATGTAAATTGCCTGAGAAAATCTGCCTAGTTTCTCCTTTGATGGCCTGGAGATCAGGTTCAAAACTTAAAGAAATGTGACGCGCTGCTAAGTATTGGAGGTTGAGATCCTGGTTAAAGAGCATTAAGTGAACTGAAGTTACTGTAGCCAGAATTCCTTTTGATGTTCACTGGTAATAGCAGCCCTTTTCCCCTTCTTCTTTGTGGAGGCAGGTTAAGTATATGTGTGCGTTTTTTGGCCACTTACTTGGCATGCAAATATTATTTCTTTGGGGGCTTAAAAAATGCCAGAAGGATGATTCATTCTGTGTTGAAGGTGTGTTTAGAGGCTGTATACATGGTTTCTGCTGATGCTTTCATGTTTGCATACTTTTAAAGCAAAAGGCAAGTTGTCTCCCTTGGGTCTTCAAGTGTACCTTTTAATCAAATATTCCTGCAAGATTGTTGGATTTCGACTGTGACACAACCTCTCCATCTGGGTGGCATCCAAGATGACAGGCTAGGCTCTTCTGCTGGACTTTGAACCTACTTGGGAAATACAGGAGCATAAACACAGGCTGCAAAGAGATGCAGATCCTATATCCCACGGTCTTCTAAACTGTTATGTTAAGTGTAAGCCTGGCTATGAGTGTTATTTTACATTGCTCAGGGAAATGCCTTCTGGGCCTGGTGGGTGTGATTCCAGCTCAATCTGCAGGCACTTTGGTGCTTCTGTACCTTTTGCAAGAGCCTCATTCTTCTGTCAGAGCTGCATTCACTCTGCCAGAAAGAAGGCAGCTTTTTTAAAAATTGAAATACAGTTGATTTACAATGTTGTTAGTTTCAGGTATAGAGCAAAGTGTTCAGAATGCACACACTTTTATGAATCTTTTCCATTGTAGGCTATTGCAGGACATTGAGTATATATGCTATACGGTAGGTCCTCTGCTACACAGTGGGTCCTTGTTGGCTGTCTATTTTATATATAGTAGTGTGTGTATTTTAATCCCAAACTCCTAATTTATTCCTCCTTTCTCCTTTCCCCCTTGGTAACCGTGTTTGTTTTCTATGTGTGTGTCTATTTCTGTTTTGTAAATAAGTTCATTTCTGTCTTTTTTAAAAAGGTTTTCCATGTAAGCAATATCATATGGTGTCTGTCTTTCTCTGTCTCACTTACTTTGTATGATACTCTCTAGGTCCATCCAAGGGAGGCAGCTTTTGAGGTTGCTTTGGAAGCATTAGTTTAAAAAAATTAAAAAGCATAGCTACTCATTTGGAATTCTTGCAAGTTTCTATATAAGGCATAAGAGTATTTATACCACTTTTTGAGGTTTAGGCTAAAACTCTTCTTCAAAGTACTTAAGATTGAATGTGCTCATGCAAATGATGACTACAGCAGTTGAACAGCAGGGATGCTAATTCAGGTTTTGAACACATTGGAGAACCTGGTGCATTTACATAGGGTCCTGTTGCTCTTTGGAGCACTGGGCCTTGGGTAATATGGACTAGACCTTAGAGGCTTAGCTTGAGGTGGGGGTGATGCTGGCCTCCTCACCATTTGTCACAGCTCAGGTCACTGTGGAGACGGATGGCTGCTTCCTAAAGTCTTAACACCAGAGCCCTAGGACTCTGTTGTTTATTTTCTTCTCCAGTAAGTCATGTTTACTCATGATGGAAAGTTACATGCCTAAAATAAAAGAAAACAAGTTGCAACTCCTAATAGTCTGAGGCTGGTGTGTCAACGGCACCTGCCTCTGTTGTTTTTCTGTGCCTGCCTTGCCTCCGCTGGTCAGGTTGAAGGAAGCAACCTGGTAAGAACTGGCTGTTCCCTCTCTGGAACAGATACTGTATCGATGCAGTTCACTGTCCTGGAGTAAACAGCTTCCCTACGAATCCTCTGACAGGTAGGTTCTTGAAGCCTTTCTTCCTTTGACTTAACAGAAGGGTAGGGTTAAAAAGGAAAAAGATAATTCAGTTTTTGAAGATAGGTGATAGGCGTGTCCTGTATCTTTAGCCTACACTTTGATGACCGAGGAAAGCCAAAGAGTCAGTTCGGTTCTGCTATAATTCCCATTTAGATACTGAGGAAAGCACTGTAGTCAGCAAATAAGTTCTAGAGTACAAATAAATTTTAGAGTGACCCTAAGTTAACAATGGCTGGCAACACACATACAGACGCACACACGTGTGTATGTCTGTTTTGATCTAGATAAAGTAACATTTGCATTCTGATCTCCCTGTATGCAGGTGCCAGCGTTTGCAGGTACCCAGGGATGGTCCTCGTGATCCCTGTGTAGTCGAGAGAGAGCAGTGGATACACCCTTTGTTCTTGCAGCTGGTTTTCTAAGAATTGATTTAAAGCAGGGAGAACAGAACAACGAAACTCCTGAGTTTGCTACTCAAAATAGTCTTTCTTTTCTGGGCACAAATCCCCATTTTGGAAGCTGGCCAGAGCAGGAAAGGTGGGTGGTAATTGAGGCCAGAGTCTATTCTGTGTTTCCAGGATAGCTTGCTGATCAGTAAATGGTCCTGTTTATACTGGGGCTCTTTTAGGACTGAAGTGGTAGAGGTGTCTGGTTAGAAATGATTTGTAATGTTAAATAAATGTTTGGTCACTTCAGAAGTTGGCTTACACCTGTGGTTTTAGTGTTAAATTTCCCATTTACTATACCTACACTTTGGTAAAGACAGTGGGTCTTACCAAAGGAATTCTTAATGGAATTAATTAGTAGGTATTTGTCTTACACATGGCTTTATGTTGCATAGGGCATTAAAACTTGTGCCCATCCCGGCATTACGAGAGCTGGAGGCCTGGCATTGCAAGTGACCAACCCTGAATCAGCTGGACCAGGGCAGGGACCTGTGAGAATGAGACCTTGATCCTCTTGGCTTTTGCTGACTTATATTCTCCAGGACTTCAACATCCTGAAAGTTGGCAGTCAGGTTTTCCAAGATGAACCTGCTCTTGAGCAGTGATTTTTTTTTTTTAAAACAATGTATAGTTTACATAGCTCAACAGTAGTGTTGAGTGTCTTTCCTTATAGGTAACTGTCTCTGGCTTTGGATAGGCCTGGCCATCCATTATTCAGAATATTAGGCAGCGGGGCCCACAGTGAAGTTTTCGGTTCCTTTGTGTCTTTTGTCTTCTGGTTTCAACGTGGCTTTGGTTCGGCTGTTCCGAACACTGGGAGCATCCCTGTTCAGTAGTTATGTGTGGTTTTTTTCAGGAGTGGAAACAATGTCTGTCAGTGTGCATGAGAACCGCAAGTCCAGGGCCAGCAGTGGCTCCATCAACATCTACCTGTTCCACAAGTCCTCCTACGCGGACAGTGTCCTCACCCACCTGAACCTGTTACGCCAGCAGCGCCTCTTCACTGACGTCCTTCTCCACGCGGGCAACAGGACCTTCCCCTGTCACCGGGCCGTGCTGGCCGCTTGCAGCCGCTACTTCGAAGCCATGTTCAGCGGGGGCCTGAAAGAGAGCCAGGACAGTGAAGTCAACTTCGACAACTCCATCCACCCGGAAGTCTTGGAGCTGCTCCTCGACTACGCCTACTCCTCCCGGGTCATCATCAATGAAGAAAATGCAGAATCGCTCCTGGAAGCCGGCGACATGCTGGAGTTTCAGGACATCCGGGACGCGTGTGCCGAGTTCCTGGAAAAGAACCTGCACCCCACCAACTGCCTGGGCATGCTGCTGCTGTCCGACGCGCACCAGTGCACCAAGCTCTACGAGCTCTCCTGGCGGATGTGTCTCAGCAACTTCCAGACCATCAGGAAGAACGAAGATTTCCTGCAGCTGCCTCAGGACATGGTAGTGCAGCTCTTGTCCAGTGAAGAGCTGGAGACCGAAGACGAAAGGCTTGTGTATGAGTCTGCAATTAACTGGATCAGCTACGACCTGAAGAAGCGCTACTGCTACCTCCCAGAGCTGTTGCAGACGGTGCGGCTGGCGCTGCTGCCGGCCATCTATCTCATGGAGAACGTGGCCATGGAAGAGCTCATCACCAAGCAGAGGAAGAGCAAGGAGATCGTGGAAGAGGCCATCAGGTGCAAACTGAAAATCCTGCAGAATGACGGCGTGGTGACCAGCCTCTGTGCCCGGCCCCGGAAAACTGGCCATGCCCTCTTCCTCTTGGGAGGACAGACTTTTATGTGTGACAAACTGTATCTGGTCGACCAGAAGGCCAAAGAGATCATCCCCAAGGCTGATATCCCAAGCCCGAGAAAAGAGTTCAGTGCGTGTGCAATCGGCTGTAAAGTTTACATCACTGGGGGGCGAGGGTCTGAGAATGGAGTCTCGAAGGACGTCTGGGTGTACGACACCCTGCATGAAGAGTGGTCCAAGGCGGCCCCCATGCTGGTGGCCAGGTTCGGCCACGGCTCTGCTGAGCTGAAGCACTGCCTCTATGTGGTCGGCGGGCACACTGCCGCCACCGGCTGCCTCCCAGCCTCCCCCTCAGTCTCTCTGAAGCAAGTGGAACATTACGACCCCACAACCAACAAATGGACCATGGTGGCTCCCCTCCGAGAAGGGGTCAGCAACGCCGCGGTGGTGAGTGCCAAGCTCAAGCTGTTTGCTTTTGGGGGTACCAGCGTCAGTCATGACAAGCTCCCCAAAGTTCAGTGTTATGATCAGTGTGAGAACAGGTGGACGGTCCCGGCCACCTGTCCCCAGCCCTGGCGTTACACGGCGGCAGCTGTGCTGGGTAACCAGATTTTTATTATGGGGGGAGACACCGAGTTCTCCGCCTGCTCTGCATATAAATTCAACAGCGAGACTTACCAGTGGACCAAGGTGGGAGACGTGACGGCAAAGCGCATGAGCTGCCATGCCGTGGCCTCCGGAAACAAACTCTACGTGGTTGGAGGGTACTTTGGCATTCAGCGATGCAAAACTCTGGACTGCTACGACCCAACGTTGGATGCGTGGAACAGCATCACCACAGTCCCGTACTCACTGATCCCTACTGCATTTGTCAGCACCTGGAAACATCTGCCTTCTTAAATGCCTTGCATCCTGGAGAGAGTGAGCATGAGGTAAGTCAGCTTAGCTGTAAGTATCTGTATAGTTGAGTGAACTGTGTACGCTCGTATGTGGAATAAGATAGGCTTCATATAGCCCATCCTGTAGAGGTACCACACAAACTATACCAGTAAAAGCACTTGCACCCCAAAGCTTAAACACTTTTGTTGACCACAGCTGCAGCCCCCCCAGATCATCAGCCAGTGGTTCTCAGCCTCTACTGAGCCTCAGTCTCGCAAGGAGCTTTCCAAAATCTGCCCACCCCAGAGGCTAGGTTTGTTGGGTCTGGATGGGTCCCAGGCATTAGCATTTTTAGAAAGTTCTTCAGTGATTCTAATTACCACCTGGTTGGGAACCCTGACCTATGTTAATAATGCCAGCTGATGTCTTCTGAGCCCTCCCCAGTTGCTGGCTGTTGGCCTGTGTGTTTCACATGGATCTTTTCATTTGGTCCCTACAACAACCCTGTGTGGTATTATTACAGGAGCACTTTATAGATGAAAACACCTGATGTACACAGGGGCTAAGTAAGTTGCCCGAGGTCATAGGGCTTAGCAGGTGGAAAGGTTGGTCAAGACCTCTGCCCAGGCAGTCTGGCTCCAGAGCCTAAGCACTTCAGCTCATGCCGAATGGGTACTTTGTACACTTCACATTGGTATCACCCCAGGAGATAATTGTTGATATTAAGATTGAGCTTCCTCAAACCCTTTTTGGAATGAAGTAGGGTTTCAAAAATCGAATGCTGAAAATTACTCCCAGTGTATTCTGTTCAAAATTATTTATTAGCTTATTTAAAATGTCCACCCGCCCCCATCCCCAAACTGCCCCCTATAGGGCATTCACTAACTTTTGTGATATCTGGGTCTGTCCTTGGAAAAAGTTGCCACCTGCATTGTATGAGCTTGTCTGATGCGTGGTGCAGAGCCATCCAAATCACCCTCCCTGCAGCTTTTCAGAGTTAATCATTCAGGCTGACCGCATTGTCAGGGTGAACAGAAGTTGTGTTTCTGTGTCATATATCTGAGTGCATAATGGTTGTCTTGTGTACTTAAGAGTATATCATACTCTTGGTTCAAATAATTAATTGGCCTTTGCAGTTCAGGGTTCAGGGAGCTAATGGCCGCCTTGCTTGCTTGTAAAGCACTCAGGATTGGCCCCGAAGTCACTTAAGCATGTGTACGTGAAGCACAGAGCACATGGAATGGGTTGATTTGTTTTGGTGACTAGAGGGCTTGTTACTGATAATAAGAGGATGAAGTTTAAGACTCTGCTTTGGAGGAGCTGCTTGTGAAGAGGAACTCATTACTTGGAAAGGTTCAGTTCTGTGTCCTCTAGTATGTTTCACACCTTTCAAGGGGACTGTCCAGCAAAGAGGGGATTTGGACTCATTTGTCTTTTCTTTACCCATCTCTTACAGCTCATTTAGAAACACCAGTAAAATTGACCTCCCTTTCACATGTAATCTTTTTATTTCTTTCATTTCTTACACCATCTCCTCCCGCCTGTTACAGTTGGTACAGTTCTTAGTAATGTAATGTTTACCTGCTGTGAGACACCGTCAGGGGTGCAGGAACTGTCAGGACCGTCCTCTGGGGAGCGAATGGGGTAACTGTTCCAAACCAAACTGGTTTTTGCAGCCTTGCTGGCATCTCAGTAATCCTGAATAAACAAATGCTCTGAAAGGGGTTACTTCATTTGCAATATAAATGCATTACTCAACTCTAAAGCAAGTTTAAAGAACCTTCTAGGCAGAAACATCAATTAACAGCGTGCTAAATTGGGTGTTAGTCCAGAATTGAGTATATTTGCATAGGAGTGCCTTAAAAGTTGCCAGTGACAGTTTGGATACTTCCAAGCAGTAATTGGCTTGGCATCCTTGGAGTGAGATAAGGAGCTGGAGGCAGAAAGAGAGCTACCACATGAGTCTGGTTCTAGTGTTCAGCTGTGGAGTCTGGACCTCTCTGCACTTCAGACTTCTTCTTTGTTAAATGAGTGATTCGAATTGTGCTTTCCTAGAGATCTGTCCCAGGTTAGACTTGGATGAATTGATAAATGAGAAAAAAGCAAAGAAAGGGGTGAAAATACCTAGCCCATGTCTGTAACATATTAAGTGTTCAATACTCTTTACTAGTTGTCTTTCCTCCCTTCAATTTAGGCCTTACTGCGAAGTGGAATTAGCTTTACGTGTTGTGGGGAAAGGAGGTTTCTATGACTGTTACCTGCTTGTTATCTCTATACTTCAATTTTGGTACCTTCTTTCTCAACCCAGAGTGAGTATGTTAGCAAACACTTGAATTCATCCTCTCCTGGGTCTTTGAACCTTAATCACACATGTCCGGCCCCTGGGAAATGGAGCAAAAAAAGTGTTGGGTTATATTCGAAACATATCCTCTCCACTCTTGGTGCTATTAGCCAGAGAGTCAAGCACAGGACAAGCAAATTTGACGGGGCTGGATTTGCCTTTTTAAAGGATGGCGTGGGCCTGATCAAAGCCACTCTTGCAGTTTCCGACGGGGAGAATGTTGGTTTAAATTTTTAAAGTTTACTGCACACAAGATAGTGTTGAAACACTTAAGCCGGATGGAGTGACTTAAAAGAGGTACTGTGTAGGTATCAGTCGTGAGCTGTGAGCACTTCCGGGACCTGGCTTTGCCTTCCAAATGTAGGTGCTACCTGAATTAATACAGTGTTAACACAAAGTTTACCTCTGCCTGAAAGCTTATCCACCAAGGTGATTTTAACTCTTTCTTGCTGCTCTGTCAGCACTCAGAGGGACGGAAAGGAGATGACTTTGATTTCACTGCATGTTCGTGGTGCTCTGTGGCCCCAACTTGACAACACTTGGATTTTGGTTCGCTTGTGCCTTGCCCCCCTTTCTAGAGGTGTTTTTGTTTTGGGTGTTTTTTTTTTTTTTTGGTTTGTTTTTCTGTTTGAGTATGCAACATCTTGAAATTTCATATTGTTACAAGATACATTCTTTTGGTCTCATGTTGATGTATAGGTTCCAAGGAGGTGTGGGGGTGGGGGATGACACCGTAGTCTAAGGAATGTCTTGAAAGCTTGAATCGCTGTTTTGGAATGGAAGAAACAGCTAATGGAATGAATCAGACTTCTGAACACACGAGAGCAAGAAGGACTCCGTGAGTGATGAGCAGCTGATCCTGAATTCCCTTTGTCTCTACTTGGAATTTCAGCATTGGGGCTGCAGATTCCTATGCTAGGGCTGAAAATGTGCTCCAAGAACAGATAGGGGGAGCTTTTCAAAGACAAAAGCCCTCTGCAAACTCTCCTTATGTAAAATTAGACTTAACCAAGTGTGAAGGATGGGTGGTGTGAGAAACCACCAGCTCCCGTGAAACCTGCAAGCTTTGTGGTTCCAGCACCTTGAATTTCTAATCGATGGGCGGTGAGTCCTGTAGGTAATGATGCTGAATGCTGCATCCCACAGCCCGAGTCTCCCAAGTGTGTACTGATGAACTTGGAGAATAAACTCCAGCCTTGGCTGCTGAAGCCTGGTGTGCTGTCATGTGAAAAGAAGCGAGACTGATTTCTGCCATAATGAATAGCAGAGATGCATTTAAATAAGAGGATTAATATGTCTGCTTTCTATATGGTGAATAAATTTAATTTGGAATCCTTTATGGTAAATGGGCCAAAGGGGGTGGGGGTGAATTGGCAGAGGAATCTCTCGTGACCCGCTGGTGATCACTTTACAGTGGCTCTGTTTAACCATGGAGAGGAATTACGCATATCAGAAGCAGAAGATGTAACAGCACCTAGGTGTATAGGTTTGGTTTGAATGTATGTGTGTTTAATCAGGAAGTGAGGATCTTTTCTGTGGATACCATTGTTTTTGCTGGAGCGTCTGCATGCACAAATGCACAAGTGTGTTCATTTAAGTCTGGCACTTTAAATATCTTTGCACTGTGCCTACCAAATGTGTAATTAAGACCTCTAGAAGCAATATTGACCAGGTGTGTCCTGAGTTTAATTTTTTTTTTTTAGATTTGAGACTTAACAAAAAAATCTTCCTTCTCCTCTGTTTTAGCTGACTCCATCCCTCGATGAGACAAGATGTGATTTCTACTTTAGAGAGGCCAAACTGAATGAAAGACAAGAAAAAGGAAAAGAAGTTGCTACAAGACTCGCATCCAATCCACTGCACCTTGTAAATGCTTCAAACTGGACATGAAGGAAGGGGGTGGGGGAGGGGGTGGGATTTTCAGTGCAAGTAGCACATGGTTTAAATATGAATGAACAAACCTGTGATCTAGTCCTTGTCTTGTAATTGTGGATTAATGTCAGCATTAATCAGCTTCTCAAAGGGAGAGAAAAGCCAGCCCTTTTTCCTTGCTGTACCATATTCAGCATTTGATTTTCCATGGGTTCCACCACTTATGTGTAAAATTTGAAATGGTTGTCACCTCTCTCTGAGGAGCAAGCTTGAAGCCTCCACACCAGCTGCTGTTGGAGATTTGAAAACCCGACTGTGGGGCCAGGAGGGGAGCTGGCTGGGCTGGCTGCAGAAGTGAGGACCGCTGGACTCCACGCTAATCTCCCAGGGCTGTGCTCCCCAGAAATGCTTCTGAACAATGGGGACATTGTTGGTAGCTGTTTGCTAGATGTTCTTTTCTATTTATAAGTGACTTTAAACTTTCCCTTGGCTGGTAAGAAATGTGTTGTAGATTTAGCTATTTATTGTTTGACTCCTGCATGCTGAAACAGTGCTTATAGTTGTCTTCACGTGTATGGACGCGTGTGAATGGTTGTACGTTTTGCACAATTTTGTGACCGTTGTGAAGTGCTCTGATGCACAAAAGTGAAAACTTCGGCGTTACAATTAGGGGTATAACTGGAGGGTGGGTTGGGCAGGGTTGGGGGCGGGCGGATTTTGTAAATGTCAAGACAGGGAAAGATTACAAAATAGAAACTTAAAGTTACATCCTAGAGGTAGGGAAAGCATGAAGGTCATTTTTTTCTTAAACTTAAGTCAACTTTGGGGTTTCGTGGGCTCTGGTCATGCTGGTGGCTCCTGGGGCAAGGGAAGCCTTCTTTCTGTCCTTCCCATCCCTCTTTGATTTACTTGCTTCTGTCTCAGCTATTGAAGTTTGGAAAGGACCAAATCACTTGGCGGTTTTTTTTTTCCCCCCCTTTGTGTGATATCCTGGAATCCTGGAAATTCTATGGACTAGTTCTGTATATAGGGCACAGGTAAAGGCATTGTCCAAAGTTTATTTATTTATTTATTACCCAGTGAGAATGCTTGGCCATAATCCCAGTTAAAACAGAACTCTCACCGACAGAAATTAATTCACTCATCAGATTTGCTTGACCAAGACTGATCGTTCTCTCTTCCTGCTGTAGCATTTAGCAAGTGCTAGAAGTTCTCCAAGGCGATATTCAGAGGGGTAGAGTGTATACTTCAGTGCTCTTAGGTAATTCTCTGAAAGAACTCCTTGGTGCACAAAAGTGACACATATGGCCCCACAAACACCAGAGAATTGTAAGCAGTGGCCCCCGCTGAGAGGCCTCCCTGGAGAGCTGGGAATGGGTTGTGAATACATTCTTTGCTAGTTCCATGCTTGTTTGCTAAACATGTGCCGTGATAGGTATTAGCGGTAGACTCATAGGTGCTTCCTTGCAAGTGTCCGGGGAAGCCCAGCATTTGCAACTCACACTGCTTCCATTGCTGTTTCTCATAATATTGTATCTTAGAAAATAGGGTTTAAGACCGATAACCTTTGACATTGTGTGTTTGCATTGTCTAATGACAGATAAATCCCTCACATTTCTCTCCACCTGAATACATTAGACTAATTGTACATGTCTGTCCGTGCCGTGAATAAGTGGGCTATAGTCGGACCAAAATAAATGAGCCATTGAAATCAAAGGGAGGGTCTCAATACTTTCCAGCAGTCAGTCCCTCGCTCTTAGATGTGTTCTAAGCAATGCAAATGTCTGATTGTACCCTGGCAGTATATTGTAGCAGTTATAGCTCCGTAGTTTGTGATGCAAATCTGGCAAGATGTGGGTGTCGCTACGTGGCTTTTGAGAGCAGGGTGAATTTTCTGCAGCTGTTTCGAAGTTGCGGTCTGCCCTTGAATCCTCTATTAATTGCAGTGTGTGAGCCAGAGGGACCGGTGGTCAGGGTGGGCCCGCAGCCTGCAGGGAACTTTCTGGAGTCCTGCTCTTTGAATTGACAGAGGCATTTGGGCTCACTGCTTGACCATTCTCACCCTGTGAAATGTCCTACACTTTGAAGCAAATACAATTCCCCGCACAGCGCACACAAAAACCTTGGCATAAGACAGAGAAGGTTCTTCTTATTCTGTGGACTGGTTGCTGTGGAAACGGATAACAAAGGGTAGCCTTCCACTTCTGGTATAATTGTGTAGACCCCTTTTCTCTGGGCTTGACACCTGTCTGAATAAGAATGATTAGAGCTGAATAATATCCCTCTCTTGACTATTTTGAGTATGTGGTTCACGTACAAAACTGTAAGTTGAAGAAGTAAAGTGTTCGTGTTCATATATACTTGTTTGCTACTGCATTTTTGAGGTTTTGTAAAACTGTTATTTTTTTTTTTTCACAATGTGAAACTGAAGGTCAAATAAATTATTAGAGATTTTCTCTTCATTGTGTGTATGGGTCATTATTGAATATAATTTTAGGCATTTAAAAATTGTGCTTTTTCTAGTTGAATTCAAAAGAGGATCATTTCAAATTTTTCTGGGTGTCCTCGTATTTCACCATTTAGTTATATCCATTTATTAGAGCAATTTTGCACATTAAGTAATTTAAAAATTTTGGCCTTTTATAATATTTAAGCAAACCCAAAGTATACCTCAGTTGGGCTTACTGATAGTTTAGAATATAAAGTCATGTACTATGCAGTGATAAGACAGCATGCCTAATATATAGAAGGAATTTAGTTTCTGTACTCCGTGTGGGATATATTTTGTTAGGAAAGCTGTGAGAGAAGAGGCTGGAGGTAAATCCTGTTTTCATCTGACACTGCCTTAGAGTCATTTAAAGTAAGTGAAAATATATGCATATTATTTCTTTGAAGTGGCACGAAAAACCACAAGTGTAACCCTTCTGGTACACTTAGCTTCTTTTCAGTTGAAAGCCGCCTTCCCAGCCGGCTCATCGTAAAGCCTCTCGCGTCCACTTCAGGATGGCTTCATGTCTCATGCGGATGGTCCCTTATCACTTAAGGTGGGCCCCTTGTTGTTTTAATGGGCAGAGCAACATTGGGCATGATCTTTTTTGGATAGACCATAAATACTACCTAATTAGAAGTCTAGGAGAGACACAAGTAGGCAGCGTGCAATTACTGCCCTTGGACTTGGACCACGATGTCAGAGCAGATGCCTCAGGTTTTACAGAAGCGTCTTTCAGGCCCATGCTGGGTGAGGCTGGTCCAGAGCCAAGCCTTGAGAACAAGTGACTGAAGAGTCCTGCGGTCCCTCCGCACACAGTGCTCGTGACCCATGGAAGCCCTGTTGGTGACGTCATCTATGACACCGTGTGACGTGGTGAGGGGAGAGAGTGAGTGGACACGTGGGATCCTGAGGGGAAGCCTTGATGCCAGTCCTCAGAAGGCTGGAGCAGAGTTCATGTAGAGATGATTGGGGACCGACTTCTCATTTCTCAGGAGTTCTTTATCATCTCAGTAGGGATGTGTAAACAGATTAAAGAAGATACTTCAGATTCCTAATTTTCATTCATTTGGAAATTTCACTTCATTCAGATAGCCTTATCACCCCAGTGGTGGCTACATTAGTCTGGATTGCCTTCAAATGTGTATAATATCTACTGAAATCTGGCCATGGTGGTTTATCCACAGTTGGCGAAGCCTTTTGGAGGCTGGCAATCCAGGGCTTGGACAGTATGCCTACAAGGCCATTAGCAGCAGTAAAAATTTATTTTTTTCTGTTTGGCTGCGTGAAGTTCTAGCCGTGGCAGGTGGGACCCTCAGTTGTAGACGTGGGATCCTTTTGTTACTGCATTCTGGGTCTTTAGTTTCAGCATGTGGGATCTAGTTCCCTGTCTAGGAATCAAAACCAGGCCCGCTGCAATGGGAGGGCAGAGTCCCAGGCTCTGGATCACCAGGGAAGTCCCAGGGGGATCTTCTGCCTTGGCATCCTGGACATGGGCCTTTGGTCCTTATGCTTTGCTGTGTATAGTCGCTCAGTCGTGTCCAAATCTTGGACTGCAGCCCGCCAAACTTCTCTGTCCTTGGGATTCTTCTGGCAAGAATATTGGAGTGGGTTGCCATGTTCTCCCCCAGGGAGTCTTCCGAACCCAGGGATCGAACCGGGGTCTCCTGCCTTGTAGGTGGATTCTTTACCAGCTGGGCTACCAGAAAAGCCCATGGCAGCTGTAGCTCACAGAACTACATGTACATTCTAGGTGGGAAAGATGGGGGCAAAGGGGAAGAAGTATTTGTCAGATGAAATTTCCTTTTTCTTGAGACAATTCAGTTTCTCAAAAAGACTCACCTCAGAAACTTAAACACCTCTCACTGGCCAGAATTGGGTCTCACGACCTCCTAAAGATGTGAGACAGCCTGATAAGAGGAGTACTTTTACGTACTCCACTTACAAGGCGTGATGCCACCCCATAAAAAAAGTGATTTTTTTGCTGCTAAGGGTGAAAAGGAGAGCAGATGTTGCTAAGCAATTGCTGCCTAGGGTCTGCCACAGTGGATAATCCAAGGGTCATTTTAAACAATAGCCCCATTGATGGAGTGACTATGAGGCACTGGAGCTGCACTAAGGACATGCTTTCCTTCATCTCTTAATTCTCACAACAAATGCAGGTAAGTACAGAGAGGTTTCCTAACATCTAAGCCTCAGTTCCTTCCTCTGTAAAATAAGGATGATTAATTTTTGCTCTTGTTCAGTCACTAAGTCGTGTTTGACTCGTTGCGACCTCGTGGAATGCAGCACACCAGGGTCCTCTGCCCTCCACTATCTCGTGGAGTTTGCTCAGATTCATGTCCTTTGAGTCGGTGATGCTCTCTAACCATCTCATCCTCTGCTGCCCCCTTCTTTCTCCTTCAATCTTTCCCAGCATCAGGGCCTTTTCTAATGAGTCAGCTGGAAACATTTATTTATATGCTACATTTAAGCACCAAGCTCAATACCTGGCACATCGTAGTTTCTCACTAATTTTCAGCTGTCATTTTTAGATATTTTAAACATCCAATAAATCAGAATCTGAGTGCTTATTCTGTGTGACAGATTGTATTGACATGTCCATCACCTTAATTGATCCTTAAAGGCACTTTTTTTTTTTGGCTGCACCCACGAGGCATGTGGGATCTTAGTTCCCCGACCAGGACTCAAACCCCTGCCCCCTGCAGTGGAAGCTCAGTGTCTTAACCACTGTACCCCCAGGGAGGTCCTAAGAACAGGAACTGTTATTACCCCCGTTTTGTAGATGAAGAAACAGGTTTTGAGAGATTAACTTGCCAAGGAAGTGGTGAAGCCTGGATTTCAAGGCACGCTCTATGAACCTGTCCAGGAATGTGGAGGATGGTGACTCATGGGGCTGAGCCTGACTGTGGGAAACCCAGGACTGCCCATGTCTATTGTGTCTGGGAAGGCGTGACTTCGTGAGAAGGGCTGAGAAGTTTGCAAGTGGTGAGTCCCACCCTGGACACCAGGACTAAAGAAGCAAAGGGAAGGAAAATCTAGGCCGCTCACAATGTTCCTTGATGACAGATTTCTGAAATTCTGATTGAGGAGAATTTTAAAATAAATGGGGGCCCTGGGTGGTTGTTACACTTGATAACTCATTGAGCTGTACACTTAGACTCTGTGTACTTTTCATTCGTATAATGTTAATCACTTAAACATTGAATATACAAATGGACAGTGGACAGTACATAATAAAAATACAATTCTGAACCATAAAAACCTGCAGCAACCAGACCAGGAAACCAACTGTATTATCTCTCGTAACCAGCCCAGAATGTCAGCCTGCAATCTACAAGTCAGACTTGCAGGAAGTCAGATTACTATCTCTAGCAACTGGTCTAAGAAGTCAAACAATAACCTGTGCAACAATTGGCCCCAAACAGCCAGAACCTGATTAATAACTTCCAGCTTTTCTAGTTTTTGTTGCTACTCCCTACTTCGGACCAACCAGAAAAAAATCAAATATCCCCTCCTAACTATCATATAGCATGCCTGCTTCTAGTTAGTCTGCCTCCAGCTTCCCTAGGTCACCAGCCTCTAACCCGGGCATATCTGAAACCTTCCATTTTTTACACTATAAAGCTTTCCCACTTCTGTGCCGCCTTTGAGTCTCTGCCAAAACCAACTGACAGTGACTGACTCCCCTGTGATACAGCAAGCTCTGAATAAATAGCCTTTGCCTGTTCTCATTTTGTTGATTTTTGTTTGTTTTGACAGACAAATGTTTGTTCAATAAAAAGTTAAATATTTCAATAAAAGTGTTCATAAAGATGAAGTGAGAACCAACATTTTGGGTTCTGGGCAAGCTGGGCTTTCGGAGGATGTTATTTGCATCCTGCATGTCACAGAAAGATGAAACGTACACAACACATATTGTATGAGAAAAATGGATTTTGAGTTAATGAGGTTGAGATTAGGGCATCTGGTTTGCCAAAAGGAGAGCAGTTGCTTTGTTTGGGAATATTGTGAATAAAGTGAGAACACTTAAGTGAGTTTTACAGCCATATTCATGGTGCACATGAATGTATGAATAAATGCAAAAACTTAGCAGTTAATTCCTGGTCTTGCCTGTCACAAATCTTAAGTGCTTTGCCTGTCTGACACATACTCAGACAAGCCATCTGTCCGGCATTTGAGTTTAATCACAGACAATGAATTGTAAAGCTCTGTTATTTGTCAGACCTTGGACCACTAAGTGCAAGACCTAACTTTCAGAGGAAAAATAAAGTGTACATTGAAGCTTGACTAGGAATTAAAAGCAATTTGACTAAGTAAATTATAAATCTACCATAATCTCGTCCCGCTCTGCTTACAGTCCAGCTTGCTTTGTGAATTTGGGAAGACCAAATGAGACAAAGTTTCTGTCTTTCTCTTTCTCTGGTCCTGTTTCCTTGGCAACCATAATCTTTATATGGGCAAATATGGGGGACGGCATGGAGGAAAGGCAGTTGGAGGGGCAGCCAAGTCTTCTACTAATCCTTTTCTTGGGTTGTTGGATGATTTGTTTTGTTACAAAAAGTGATTTTACACCCAGTTTTTAGATGTTGCTGGGGGTGTTTATTGAATATCCTAGAAGGGCTGAGAGCACTTGCTGATATTGTAAGTACAAAGAAGATGAAATCAGTAGATACAAATTGGGCACCTGCAAAGTGAGAACTAAAACCTCTCTCTCTGAGGATCTAACCAATCTATCTGCAAGCTCTAAATTGCGAACACCAGGGTACCACTCAGCCACCCCCACACATTCTGGCCAAGTCCGTTGCTGCCGGGAGAACCGTTTTTGAGAGAAGAGATCTAGAAATTCTGCTATCATGTGTCTGCTAGCATGTGTCTGCTCTGAAGGGAGAAAGAGGGAAAAGTAGAAGGATTCTGGGGCAGACGTGCCTGGGGGTCCACCTCACATTCCTTTCAGATGCTTACTGAGGTTGC